CCGCGGAGGAGGTCGCAACGGAGGCGGGGCGCCCGATGGCGGTGTCTGAGGTATCGGGACAGCCCCGCGTGCCTCGTCCTGACCAGAAGGTAGACCTCTCTGAAAGCGACATATCTGAGGATGAGTTCGTACACGTTCCCGAGGGCTCAGACCCCGCGCCCAGTGCCTCGGAGGAGCCCGATGCCGAGGGGCGGGGAGGTACGGGGGCGCCCCCCTGTGCCTCTCCGCCCAGCGGCGCGAGGGCCTTCATGCCTGCGAAGCACGCTGCGGCAGCCGCCCAGGCAGCGTTGAGCGTGGTGCCGCATGCGGGCCTCGCCGAGGACCACCACGACGGATGGGACAGGGCGGGGGTCCAAACGGAACCGCCGCGGAAGCAACAAAACAGCGCATGGCCAAACAAATAGCCGAGGGCAGAGGTTGATGCCGACGCCCTCATGAGCGCGGAGGAGCTGGCGCAGGAGGACTACGAGTCCTTGGACTGGGAGTTCTGCATGGGAACCTACTGGGCGCGGCCACGACGGCTGGGCTGGTGCCGTCTCTGCTCGGCCCTGGATGATTGGAAAGTCATGAAGATAGAGTGGGTTGAGGACCTGTCGACGGCCGGGCTGGCCCGCTACGGGCAAGCTCTGGACGCGAACCCCAGGTATCCTACGCTGCGGATGGGGCAAGGAGATAGGCCTTTGTTCCTACACCTGCTCCAGGTGCGTGGCCAGGCACGAAGGCATCGACGAGCGTGAGGCAGTCACGAAGGCGGCGAGGACCAACAAAGGTGCTGGCTCAATCCAGCACTAGCGTGGCCGTGTTGCCAAGTTCCAGGAGTCCTTCAACGTGCTCAAAAGCTTGGATGTGCTGGTGGGTTGCGCCCTCTCTGAGGACGGAGAGCTGGCCCTGCGGCGCGCCGCGACGGGCGTGCGCATGGGCGTCGACAAGTTCAGCGCGGCGGCGCCACCTGCCACGGAGGAGGTCGCAAAGGAGGTCGGGCGTCCGATGGCGGTGGCGGAGGCGCCGGGGCAGCCCCGCGCGCCTCCGCCACCTGCCGTGGACGACGCGGCCGACTGGGAGATGACAGCGACGCCGCGCTCCGAAGCATCGGCGGGCCACGAGCCCTCGTCAGAGGAGACCGGCGGCCGTGCCGTGAAGCTGATGGAGGACGTTGCCGACGTCCACTCCCTCATCAGGATGGGCTACTCTTAGAAGACGCTCAAGCGCATGGCGAGGTGCTGCGCCATGGTGCGGCACGAGACCCCGCGGACGCACATGGGTGGCCCTCGGGGCCATTCTCGAGCAGAAGGGTGAGATGATCCGAGCGGTGAGCTGCGCAAAGGGCTTGGAGACCTGGTTCGAGAAGCTGGTCGCTGCGGCAGAGGGTTGCCGCGCGGCGAGAGCTGAAATCGAAGCGGGGGGGGCCGCGTGCACGGCCGAGGGGGGCAAGAAAGGCCCGCTGGAGGCGCGCGACCGCGCGGCCGCGCACCTGGGCAACCAGCGGGCCTTCAGGGAGGAGGCGGGCGGCGATGCAGCCGCGCGGGAAGCCTACCGCAGGATGGCGAACTACTCCGACCAGTTCTTCTCGGACGACCAGTACACGATGAACATGTACCACAAGTGCAACGCAAGCAAGACCCGGGATAACCCAGGAGGCTGCAGGGCCGTCATCCGCGCGGACCGCTGGACGCAGCTCCACTCCCTCGAAGAAGAGGCGGGGGGGCGATGTGGCCAGCGATGGCACTGCCATTGCGGGGCCCGGTGCATGACGACCTACGGCGCGTGCATCGAGATGATCGACCGCGCAGCCAAGCCACCGAAGGCGCGGCACTTACAGGCCAAATTGCCCGAGGAGGCAACCAGGGACCTGAAGACCCTCCTGCGGGCGGACAAGCTCAGAAAGAACAACGTCGCGGTGCCCAATCCCACGGCCCTGCTGCAATGCCTGCCTCAGGTAGAGCCCCTGGCACTGGGCGCAGAGTTCAGGAAGTACTCGCCCGATGAAAAGCAGAAAGGGGCCTTGGGCATTGATGGGCAACCTCGCGTGGGATCAGATGCCCGAGTTCGACTGGTGCGACGTGCGCTCGCAGATAGCATGGGGGCTCAATGACCCTGCGCGGGCGGGCTACAGCAAGGAGACCAGGAACAGGATGAAGCGCGAGAAGACCGCCGAGGCGAGGGTGGCGGTACTGAACTACGAGCAGTGTCACAAACTGGCCGTCGGCAGCCTTGCCAGCGGGGGGAGTGCAGGGGCAGCCCCGAGTGACCCCCCCGTTGGCGGGCCGCAGACGGACCTGAGGATGGATGACGCAAGGTGAGTGGACCCGCCGCCGCCGCCCGCACCCGCGGCGCAGACCAGCGCGGAGGTGCCGCAGCCGCCGCCTGTGGGCCCACCGCCAGACGTCGAGTCTGAGCTGTTTGGGCCCACGGTGAAGGGAAGTCAGCGAGGCGGGTCCAATGGGTGAGTGAGTGGCTTCGCGCCTGCTCTGACACTGCGCGCTACCCCAGCGCCGCGCCAATTTTGATGCCCGCCGTGGCCCGCCAACTCGTGGCTGACCGAGGCTCTACCGTGGCCTCCTCCTGTGTGCTTTTGTGCTACTCTGCAGCGCTAGGGCCGCCCCGAGGGCTGCGGGCCGTCCGCGGCGTTGCCGTGTAGCCCTCGGTACTTCAACGCAGTGACTTGCCATTTTGGCTTGCCCCACCCCGCTTCTCGCCGCGGGCTCTTGCCACGCGGGGCCTCCCGAGCTTCAGGGGTCGGGCTGTGCTGGGGTAGCCCCGCGTGCTGCGCGTCCTGTGCTGTTTTAGGTCAGGCTCGTCTTGACGCGCCCTGGCGGCGGCGTCTTGGGTCGGGCGGCGCCGGGGCAGCCCCGTGCGCCGTGCGTCCCGTGGCTGTTTTTGGCCACGCCCGTCTTGATGCGCCTTGGCCGCGGCTTTGCAGCTTCGTCAATCCGCGGCGCGCGCCCCGCCTTGCTGTGCACCCCACTTGGCGCCTGCCTCATTGCAGGGTGGGGCAGCCACAGGACGCTCGCCCCAACGCGGTCGAGCCGTGGTGATGTGGTGCACGTGGCCGCAAGCGGTGGTGGTAGTAGTAGTAGTAGTAGTAGTAGTAGTCGTAGTAGTAGTAGTAGTAGTAGTAGTAGTAGTAGTCGTAGTAGTCGTAGTAGTAGTAGTAGTAGCAAGTAAGTAAGTTAGTAGTAGTAGGAGTAGTAGTTAGTAGTAGATTTCGTCAGTAATCGTAGTCGTAGCGTAGTAAGTAGTATAAGTAGTAGTAGTCGTATTAGTAATAGTAGTAAGTAGTAGTAGTAGTAGTGTAGTAATAGTAGTAGTAGTAGTAGTAGTAGTATCGTAGTAAGTCGTAGTCGTAGTCGTAGTAGTCGTAGTATAGTAGAGTAGTAGTAGTCGTCGTAGTAGTCGTAGTAGTAGTAGTAGTAAGTAGTAGTAGTAGTAGTGGTGTGGTGGTGGTGGCGGTGGTGGTGGTTGGTGTGGTGAGGGGGGGGGTGGTGGTGTGTGGTAGTAGGTATTAGTAGTAGTAAGTAGTAGTTAAGTAGTAAGTAGTATTAGTAGTAGTAGTAGTAGTAGTGAGTTTTGGTGGTTAAGTCGTAGTCTAATTAGTAAGTCGTTATATCTAGTAAAGTAGTAGTAGTATAGTAGTTATATAGTAGTAGTAGTAGTAGTAGTAGGAGTAGTAGCAGTGTAGTAGTTCGTAGTAGTAGTAGTAGTAGTAGTAGTAGTAGTAGTAGTAGTAGTAGTAGTAGTAGTAGTAGTAGAAGTAGTACTAGTGTAGTAGTGGTAGTAGTAGTAGTAGTAGTAGTAGTAGTAGTAGTAGTAGTAGTAGTAGTAGTAGTAGTCGTAGTAGTAGTAGTAGTAGTAGTAGTAGTAGTAGCAGGAGTAGTAAGCAGTCTAGTAGTAGTACTAGTAGTTTGTAGTAGTAGTAGTAGTAGTAGTCAGTAGTAGTAGAAGAAGTGTAGTGGTATAGTCGTAGTGTAGTAGTAGTAGTAGTTAGTAGTAGTAGTAGTAGTAGTAGTAGTAGTAGTAGTAGAAGTAGTAGTAGTAGTAGTAGTAGTAGTAGGAGTATGGGGTGGTGGTGGGGGTGGTGGTGTTGGTGGTGGTGGTGGTGGTGTAGTAGTAGTCGTCGTAGTGGCAGTCGTAGTAGTAGTCGTAGTAGTAGTAGTAGTAGTAGTAGTAGTAGTAGTAGTAGTAGTAGTAGTAGTAGAGTAGTAGTCAGTAGTAGTAGTAGTAGTAGTAGTAGTAGTAGTAGTAGTAGTAGTAGTAGTTGTAGTAGTAGTAGTAGTAGTAGTCGTAGTAGTAGCAGCAGTAGTAGTAGTAGCAGTAGTAGTAGTAGTAGTAGAAGAAGAAGTAGTAGTAGTAGAAGAAGTAGTAGTAGTAGTAGTAGTAGTAGTAGTAGTAGTAGTAGTAGTAGTAGTAGTAGCAGTAGTAGTTGTCGTCGCCGTCTTCGTCGTCGTCGTCGTAGTAGTAGTAGGAGGAGGAGGAGGAAGAGGAGGAGGAGGAGGAGGAGGAGGAGGAGGAGGAGGAGCGACGACGACGACGTCGGAGGCGACGACTGTAGCGAGGCCTGTGCGGTGGCCGCCGCGGGGGAATACTTATTTTCCACTTATTGCTGGGGTCCCAATTCGTCAATAAGCCTGCGGACAATTTCATGTTTGTTTCCCCATGATTTCCAACGGGGAAACTAAAGGTCCTTCGAGGTTCTTGAGCGTCCTCGCGTCGGCGAGCACCCGCCGGCGCGAACACGCGCTGCGAGGGACACCGATGCTTCTGCAGGCCTTTGGGGGCACGAGGCGCGAACAGGCCCGACTCGTTTGGGGAGGAGGAGGAGGAGGAGGAGGAGGAGGAGGAGGAAAAGGAAGAGGAGGAAAAGAAGGAGGAGGAGGGGGAGGAGGAGGGGGGGAGGAGGAGGAGGAGGAGGGGGAGGAAAAAACAGGTGCGCAGGCGAGCGGGCTGGCGGGCGGCCGGGCGAGCGGGCGGAGGACGGCTGGCATGCCGCGCGGCCGTCGCAGGTGCCGCGATAGCATGTCGCAGCTGTACCCCGAGCCTTGGGCCGACTGCCGGCAGCAGTACTGCCAGATGTTCGACGATCTGGTCCAGGGGGATCTTGGCAGGCTGGCCGCAGCTGGGGGAGCCGTGTTCCTTGTGCCCCTGGGGGGAGGGAACCCATCGGATTCGACACGCCCTCTCGAGACGTCGTCGATGCGACGGGTGCCTTCACCACTCGCCAAACCACCCCAACCCAACCCGAAGGCCTCCAGGTTCCTTCCATTCCCAGTGTGTGTGTGTGGGGGGGGGGCGTCGGGGAACATTGACAATTACTCCGACGGAAGAACCCCACATAAGAATCCTCTGGGCGAATCTGGAAAAAGCCATCACCGTCGTCCTCGTGGTTGGTGAGGCGTCCTGGCTGTCTCTTCTGCGTATATTTCCTCTCGCCTTGGCGCGGGCCCCCCTTCCACTCCTTACGTTGTCCCCATCCTCGCCCCCCTGTTTGTTCCGCGCCCCGCCACCTCCTCCCCTTCCTGTTGCATGAGCGCGCATGTCGATGTTCCTCGGCGCCGTCGCCGCCACGGCCAGCACAGGCGCGTTCTCTACTGGTCACGTCGCGCAGCCGTTGGGACAACCCCGCGGGCCAGGCTGTCGGGACAACCCCGCGAGCCGTTGGCGCGCAAGACCAAGCCGTTGGGACAACCCCGCGGGCTTCGAGCGAGGCGCAGCCGCGCTCAGGCGGAAGGCAGCACGAAGCCCAGCTCTGCCGCGAGCTGCTTCGCCTCCGCCCTGGACAAAACCGCTCTCTTGTCGAACTCCAGGAGCGCCTTCCGCAGGGACGCCGGCGGCCCGCACTCCAGGAACTCTCGCGGCGGCGGCCGCAGGATCAGCATGTTCCGCATGCACGTGGCGCGGGAGAACATGACGTAGAGGTGCAGCCACCACTGCTCGTCCGACATGCCCGTGCGGCCAGCGTCCTCGTCTCTCGCGCAGTCGATGGTGACGCCCTTGCGCAGCGTCTGGCCCTGCGACAGCGTGGAGGTCAGGTAGGACGCGTGCGTCAGGGTGAACCCCGAGCGGCGCACGCTGTGCGCCCCCGAGCTCTGCCATGTGAACTCCCTTTCGCTGGGCCTGAACATCAGCAAGCTCCGCGCCCGCGCCTCGGCCTGGCCGTCGTCGTCGGCGCCTTCGGCGCCCTGTCGCAGCACCTCGGCGACCTGAGGAGCCCAAAAACTTCCTTGTTGCATCCAAAGTGTGGCCTGGGAACTGCGTTCTGGCAGCGCGAGAACCCAACATTGACGACAGTTACAGGTTTTGGATGACCTGCTCGGATTACCAACATGATCTGCGGGCCCCATAGGGAGGGGGCTCCCGCCTGAGACTTCCTCGCAGTTCACTCACAGACGAGGCTCCCGCCTGAGACTTCCTCCATATTCAGGCTTGAGGAGCCCAAAAGTGACGACAGTTACAGGGTTCCGATGACCCGCTCGGATTACCAACATGATCTGCGGGCCCCATAGGGAGGGGGCTCCCGCCTGAGACTTCTTCACAATTCACTCAAAGACGAGGCTCCCGCCAGAGACTTCCTCCAAATTCAGGCTTGACGAGCCCAAAAGTGACGACAGTTACAGGGTTCCGATGACCCGCTCGGATTACCAACATGATCTGCGGGCCCCATAGGGAGGGGGCTCCCGCCTGAGACTTCCTCGCAGTTCACTCACAGACGAGGCTCCCGCCTGAGACTTCCTCCATATTCAGGCTTGAGGAGCCCAAAAGTGACGACAGTTACAGGGTTCCGATGACCCGCTCGGATTACCAACATGATCTGCGGGCCCCATAGGGAGGGGGCTCCCGCCTGAGACTTCTTCACAATTCACTCAAAGACGAGGCTCCCGCCAGAGACTTCCTCCAAATTCAGGCTTGACGAGCCCAAAAGTGACGACAGTTACAGGGTTCCGATGACCCGCTCGGATTACCAACATGATCTGCGGGCCCCATAGGGAGGGGGCTCCCGCTTGAGCCTTCCTCAGAATTCACTCACAGACGAGGCTCCCGCCTGAGACTTCCTCCATATTCAGGCTTGAGGAGCCCAAAAGTGACGACAGTTACAGGGTTCCGATGACCCGCTCGGATTACCAACATAATCTGCGGGCCCCATAGGGAGGGAGCTCCCGCCTGAGACTTCCTCCCAATTCACTCACAGACGAGGCTCCCGCCTGAGACTTCCTCCATTTTCAGGCCTGGGGAGCCCAAAAGTGACGACAGTTACAGGGTTCCGATGACCCGCTCGGATTACCAACATGATCTGCGGGCCCCATAGGGAGGGGGCTCCCGCCTGAGACTTCCTCACACTTTACTCAACGATGATGAGGATGAGGATGATGAGTGGTGGTGAAGATGAGTGGTGAAGAGGATGATGATTGATTGTGGGTGGTGGTGGCGATGATGATGTTTGAATGAGGATGATGCCGATACCGATGATGACGATGATGTTCGTGAGCGTGTGAGAGAGTGCGAGTG